TCAGCCTCTGCAAGAGAAGGCTGAGAAGTGATCTTGTGGCCACCTACAAATTCATTAGTGGGGTGCAGCAAGGGATCGGAGAGGCTCTGTTCACCAGGGTGCCTCTTGGGGTAACAAGGAACAATGGTCACAAACTGACAGAGAGCAGATTTAGGCTAGATATCAGGAAAAACTTCTTCATAGTAAGGGTGGCTAAAATTTGAAACAGGTTTCCAAGGGAGGTGGTGCTCTCCCCTAACTTGGGGGTCTTTAAGAGAAGGCTGGATAGGCATCTGGCTGGGGTCATCTTTCCTGCCTAGGCAGGGGTTTGGACTTGATGATCTGTTGAGGTCCCTTCAGACCCTAGCATCTGTGAATCTATGATAAGCCATCCAGAATGAGGCAGAGGTCACTTGGGTAGTGGCTCTCACAATGAAGTTAAGATAATCCAAAACCTATCCAAAACCAGAATTTGAGGGAAAGAATAAAGCCATTTTTATCCAACCAATGACCTCTATTCCCCCATAGCCATTTGAAATTCACCAAAAGCAAAACTTAGTAACAGAGCTAGGTGGTAATTAAATTATCCATTTTCTGGGAAATTTGACTATTTTACAAAAATTCTAAATATTCATTTAAGAAAATTTAAAAGTGGAACGATATGCTCTTAGCACTTAATAAATTGTGAAAAGAAATTCCTCAAGTCAATGTGCTATGCAAAACGTTTTGATTTAGGAAAAAAAATAATCAAAAACTTGGTTCAGTGAAAAATTTCTGATCAACTGTACACAGAAGTAGTCTTGCATTGAAGTCACAATCTGCCTGAGAATTGTACAGGTGATATTTTAGTTGTATGTAATAATCCATGCTCTTCAGCCAACCAAACACAATGGTGAAATTGCTGGGGAAGATTTTAAAACTTTGATAACATACTTCATGGTTGTGCTGGTTACTATTTCTTTCTCAATGGGGTTTAAAATAATGTGCTAAACTCTCAAAGATCAAAAGCTGAGAGTTGAGCTGATTTTACCTGCTTTCTCTCATCTCTCTCTCTCTCTCTCTCTCTCTGGTGAGAGGAAGGTTTAAAAACTTGCATAGCAAAGTTTACTCTGTATTCTTGGATGGCACCTTCAGGAACATGGATGCAATATTATGTGGTTTTCTTTTCAGAATGACAACTCTGTGTAGATATCAAGTCAGGGTACACTTCTTCTATATGAATGCTATTTTTAGATTTCTTGGTTTTCCAACATCAATGCAAGAGGCAAGGATTTTTGGGGTGGTATCTTTTATTGGACCAATGGTATAGTTGAGAGATGTTAAACAAGCCTTTGGGCACAAAGTGTACCTTCCTCAAGCCTAGGAAAGAAGCAGACACAGCTTGAGAGAAGTAGCAGAGAGAAAAATGGTCTGTATACATCACCATATGCAAATAAAAACAAATCTGTTTCATATTTCTTAGGCCATCACAGCTACAACATCACACCAACACTACTAAGATAAATGGTGACTTACTTCGTGAATGGGGGAAGAGCAGCAATGTGATATAACTTGACTTTAGCAAGCCTTGTGATACAGTCTCCCATAATACTCTCATAAGTAAGATAATGGCACATAGCCCAAATAAAATGCTTGTAAAGTAATTGTATCATCATACTCCAAAAGTCTGACCAAGGTTTGACTTCTAACTAGGAGGCAGTATGAAGTCTGTTTCCCTTAGGGGCCTGCCCTAGGTCTAGTACTGTTAAATATCTTCATAATGACTCAGAGGATAGAATTGAGTGCAGATAGCAAATTTGTAGATGACGCCAAATAAGTAGGATGTGGCTTTGGAGGATAGGTTCAGGACGCAAAATGATCTCAATAAACTGGAGAAACTGTGTGAAATAAAATTGGATGAAACCTGTTAAGGACAAATACAAAGAACAATCAAAGTAGGGAATAGATCCAAACTACAATACTACAGAAAAAAAGACTGGGATCTATAATGAACCACAAACTGAATATGAGTCAACAGCATGCTGCTTTTGCAACGAGAGCCAGGAACAGAGTGGGATGTATTAACAAGCATATCACCAGGCAGGTTACAGGAAGTGAGTCTTTCCTCTATTCAGCACTGGTGTCATTTTGGATAACACACTTCAGAGGATAGTAACAAAATGATCATCTCTCTCTCTCTCTCTCTCTCTCTTTGGTGACCAAGGTTTGACTTCTTGTATGTCATGTCTGGAAAACATGACATGCAAGAAATAATGCCAGTTGAAAGAACTGGAACTATTTAGTCTGAAGAAGAGAAGACTGAGGAGGTTTTTGATAATAGTTTTCCAATAGAAACAGATTTGTTATAGAGTGGATGTTGATAGACTATGCCAGTAGTGTGACTGAGGGAAGCAACTAGAGCAATGACCTTGGACACTGCCTTTGTGGGGCGGCAGAAAAGTTGCTATTGCCCCAATGGTGGCTGATGACTTCGCCACCATTGCCCCAGGCACCATGCAGCTGCCCCAGGTGCAGAGCCACACTGCACTGCTGCACCTCTCAACTATCCTTTGTGTAAACAGTGGACAGGACAAGAAATACTGCATTTACTCAATTCCGAGAGAGAGATTTTTTTCACTCATTCAACATGGTGTAAACCAAGCCTCATTGTAGAACTGAGTATCAGACCTCTCCAGCTGAGAAATGTGGAGAGCAGTTGTGCAAGGAGCCTGGCTCAGCTGGGGACAGTGGTGATAGCAGCAGGTTCCTCCTTCCCTTCCCTGCCCAGCTCCACCCCCACCCCCACCAGTTCCCCTGCTGTCGCGGAGTAGGCTGTAAGTAGGAATTTGGGCAGTGCCACAGCTGCTCCCCACAGTGCAGGGCAAAAGTAAATCTAAAGCATTAGCTGAGAGTCAGTCCACTCCAGTTGTGGGGAGCAGCTATGCAGGGAGCAGCAGATAGGGACAGCAGCAGCAGCAGCATGCCAATTCCTCCTTCCCTGCCCAGTTCCCTGCCAGAGAGGAAGACTGGAAAAGGGGAGCTTGACAGGAAGCAAACACATGAAGGAGTTGCTTGCGCTGATGCCATCGCCAGTTGAGCTGGGCTCCGGGCACAGATGATTTCTGCAGCTCAGGGCAGGAGCAGGAATAGGAATAGGAGCAGAAGCCAAAGCTAGAGGCAGTCAGGAGTGGTTCTGGGACTCCCCCTGTGCCCAAATCTGCTGAGGACAGCAGCAGAAGGAGGTGGAAGTCATTGGGAAGGCAAGTGGGGAGGCAAATAGGGGGGTAGGCAGCAGAGGGACAAGTGGCCAGGGAGCAAGTTGTGGGGAAGGACGCACAAGGGGGCAAGCGGTGGAGGCTTGGCAGGTGCCAAGGGGTGGTGGTCAGGCTGCCTGCTCCCCACAGTGCTTGAATCGCCACTGCCTGCCCCCCATCCCTGTTTTCCTATCACTTGCCCCCTTGCTTTCCCAATGCAGCTTTTGGGGAGACAAATTTAAGGTGACCCTCCAATAATTAGATTCTAAACATGGAAAATTACAACATACTAGCCAATTGCCCATCAACAATGATGAGGGTGGGGGAATGAAGCCTCCAGCAACCCGCTGCCTCCAGGTAGCGGAGGGGGGGCATCTTGGATTCAGATAAATACAGCAATAGTCTTAAATTGCAACAAAGTATATTTAGATTGGATACTAGGAAGATCTTTCTAACTATGAGAGCGGTTAAGCCCTAGAATAGATATTCTATTAAAAATGTGGAATGTCCATCACTAGAAATTTTCAAGAGGGTCAAAAACAATTTGCTGTGGTAGTCCTTTCATGGACAATCCTGTCTTGATCAGGCGGTTAGATTTCATAGCCTCCTGAGGTCCCTAACAGTCTATTTCCATGATTCTATGTTAATTAGTTCAGATCTTTATTTTTTACTTGCAATGGATCTGCAGGTTTAAAACTGAATAGAGGACCCCATCTAAGCACTTCCACAGTTTCTTTAATTTTCCAAATTGTTTTATCTTGAATATGATGGTAGCAGACAGGAAGGAATTTGATTTTCTTATCAAATTCAGATTTTGCAATTTAGATTTTTTTTTACATAATCCTCTGATTGATCTTTAAATGTCAAAGATAACCAGACAGCTCCTAAATAAAGCTCATATTGAAGAGCTGCTGGGAGACCTAGAAAAGGGATATCTATTACATTACATTTCAGTGATGATATTGATGTCATTGTACATGAAATATGTTTCACTTCATAATCACCAATCAATGTTTTCCTTTTCAACTTCAGCATGCAAGTTCCACTCAATAGCATATTTTATCTCAAAGAATCCAACATAACTGATCCACTCCACTTTCTAAGAGCAGCAGGACTCTTTTCTATCTTCCTGTTTAATATATCAGAATCATATTTATATTTTACTTTAAAAGAATTACCTGTTTTCATTCCATCCAATCACTCACTGCCTACCTCCTGCACCTTTAGACATGTTGGAATTAATTAACACACTGATGCTGATTAATCACAACCAGTATTAATCAGTAGCTTTCATAACTGGTACAGTGACAGTGAAGAACCACAACCTAGTAACTTCTGCATTGTGAAGACTAAAAGAAGAGGAGCTAACTAGTTTATATTATACTATCATGTATCTTGTTACCAGATACCTTGGTTATTCTACAAGACAATTTAGATTCTATCACACTAAACTCCACTAGAAGGGTATAACAAGATGGTATCACCTGTATTTAGCATCCTGTATATATAAGGTGCCAAACAACCAGCCCCCTCTCTTCTTTCACTAATCATTACACCAAGCTTACTTCCTCTTCACACTAGTTTTATATGTTTCTTACTGTTTACTTATGGGCATAGGAAAAACCTTGATCTACTTATCCGTCTACTTTTTAATTCAGAGATGAAAGCCTTAATTTCAATCTGCAATTATATAACTATTGTGTAATGTTCAAGTACAAGGATGTTGTAAGTACTGCAGGCTAATATAGAAATATATTAACTAAAAAAGTTGAGTATAGCTTGGGGGCGGGAAACATTGAAAAAGCTTCACTAGTTTTCTTCAGAGTCCCCATACGAAATTGTGCCATTTTTTCTATTCAGTCCAGAATGCCACAAAAGCACCTGCATTGGATGAAAAGGACCATATTAACTCATTATAAAAGAAACTATAACAAGAAGAAGAAAAAACTATTTTTTCCTTGTTTATTTTAAGGTTTGTTTTTTCATTTTTTCTTTCAAGAAATGTATTGATTGAGGGAGAAATGGGTTGCAAAAGACCACGTCATGAAATCACGTCCAAAATTACTAGCAGTTTTGCTCATATCACAATACTGTGCCAGCTCTCATTTGGGGGTGACATTGCCTGAAGCTGACACCCAGCACAGCTCCTTTTGAAACAGACACTGGTTAATTCTTCATACACGATAACCTTTTATTTTCCTAGGGACAGGTAAAGCCTAGAATGCTTCACACTATGTAAAAGTGTGTCTTTAACATACAAAGAGCCTTGCCTTTCCTTTTTTGTTCCCAGGGTGTGCAACAAACCTGGAAGAAAGAGCAACCTAAGGGGACATTGTTCATGAACTGAGCTCCGTAGAGTAAAAATCATTCCCCCTTTTTCAATTTATTTTATGTGCTGACATAAAATATGTTCTTTAATTTTTGTCACAATGTTTCAAGTAAATCATTAGGAACAATGCTTTGCTTGTTAAGGTGTGGGGTTTTTTTTTAATTAAACAATCACACTCATCTCTAGTTGCAAGGTTCTCCCCTCCTCCACAGATAAACACTCGCGCGCACACACATACACGCACATGGAGAAAACAGCATCTTGCTTACTAGACAGAGATAAATTCCTTGCCAGCATGATCATCAGACACTAAGCCAAATTCATCTTCTCCTTCTTCTTTTTTTCCCCCCACTCTGTTATTCATAGAGACCACAGGTGAAGCGGGAGAAAATTATTACAGTGTGATGACTGCTGAAATGATAGAAGGTAAAGAAGATGGATTATCACGGTGCTGACATGATTTGTATGGAATTCCAAAATTAAGCTGTTCACTTAAAGTGACCGTCTTCTTTGCACCCACGATATTGCAGCTGCCCTAGTAATAACCTTCATCTGCACTTGTGAGCCAAGTGAGCAGAGCACGTTTCCCATTACCTGTCAAGCGAGTATGTAGAGTTCTTCTGGCCCCGCAGTAATAGCAGGGCTGCTGGTGAACAGAGTAATAAACACCTACTGAGAGGGATGTAGCGTGAAAAGATCTCATCACCTGCCATTAGTACACTGATGAATAATGCAGCATTTTCTGTGGCAGATGTCAGGGGTGGGAGGAAGAATCACTTCTGTAAATGCTCTGGTGAGCACTTCAGTACAAAGTGAGAGGTGATAGCAACAGATGCATGTGACAAAATTACACTCGCTATTGTATTTTAAAAGAAATGGGAACATTTACTTCACAAATAGCTGGCAGGCTCCCTCATGCTCCTTTTTTCCTTCCGAGCCACAGGATGCTGTAAACCAGCAAACTAACCTACCTACCGCTGAGCATTTATGTCTCCTAACTGCACCATTGTCTAAGGGGTAGAGAGGCTCTAAGGGGCTTGGATGTCCAGCTAGCTAAATATCTGCCCACTCAGACCCAAGCAGGCCTATTCATTGGGTAGGGTAAAAAAAAAAAAAACCCTGACTCCTATATATATTTTCATTCTCTCTGTCTCTCTCACATAGTCCACAAGATTTAATTGTATGAAGGGCCAGATACTGGCTTTGGTGCAGTCACTTTAGCCAAAGCACTGGAGGGTTCTGGCTACAAAGCAGGGTTGCATCAGTTTTGGAGGGATCCTACAGCAATATACAGCTAGCAAGGAAGCTTAATTGCCCCTCTACTGCTGCACAGGATGTGAGGTAGTAACAGCTACACTGGACTGGTCCCTGAATGGGAACAGCTGGCATTAGTTGAAGCAATCCCCTGTCCTGCAAAAGTGATGTCAATCCCATTTTCGTGTATCAACAAATCTAGTTTCTCCAGTTCAACAGACAAGACTGGAAAAGTGCACGTGAGCTTTATGCCACACTTATTTCTCCTCCAATTCCCACCCCCCCACACACACACTTTCCACACTTGCACAGGGCACTCTTCAGCCACAGCTAAGGATGCATCCCCAAATCCATAATTTCTGACACATTCAAGCTCCATGAAATAAATCCACAATCAATAACAATATTATGCAATTGAAACATTATTCATGGCACAGTCTTGTCTGTGAAACCCAAATTCAGATGACTTGCAGCAACCAGTCCCAAATGTGTTTTGATGAAGTTTGCTTCCACATCTTATTGACAGTAGAATTTTTTTTTATTGTATCTGAGCCAAATAAGTGTTTTAGCCAATTGCTGTCACTCTGCACAATAACTCATTAACATCAAAAGTCCTGGATAACAGATGGCTTGTTGCCATGAACTGTGGAATTTTAAAGCAGTAAATGACTTAAGCTCCTGCTCTCTTGAGGCCATCAAGACTGGATTCGCTGTGATAGAATTTGCTTGATCTCCATAGGGTAGGAACAGAGGAAAGGAAAGGACCGGATAAAAAGAAAAGAAGGAAAATGCTTTATAATCTTTCTTGCAGGCAGTCCATGAGATGACATAAATGTTGCCATTTCATGAGTGAGTGTACTGTTATCGTTATTATCAAATATATAACAGAAGACACCAAAATTAGGATTATCACTAATTCATTGAGGGGGAGAAGGAAGGGGGAAGATACCCCAGGACCTGCAAGTTTCTCCTACTGTCCCTTGTTTATCATCTCAAGGAACAGACCAAGGTTTGTCCTGGGATAACTCCTTACCTCCACAAGCCTCAGCTCCACTGCTGTTATATCCCCCAGGGATATATCCCTGCAGCAGGGAAAACTCTGCCAACTCCAGGTAGTTTCCCCTTGGGTTGTAAGAGAATTTAAGAACCCCCTTTCTGTAGAATAGACTAGTCTGGAATATCACTCATCCCGAGATCATGCTTTACCACAGGCATTCAGTAAGGAGACAAAGCAACAGAAAGATGTATTACATAAGAGAAAAGAACTATACAAGGAAAGCTGACCATATAGCTTGAAGACAGAACAAAAAGACAAGGTAAGTTTCTTACTCTCTCATCTGACTACAACCTAGCTCCTCTGAGAGTCTTGCCACTATTTCCAGAGATCAGCCTTTCTGTTGATCCTCCCAGCCTTGTCTGTTGGATTTAAGTCTCCCCCAAACCCTGGGATAATCCAAAAGCCAGTTATTTTATATATATTCCCTAAATACCTCCAAGCCAGACCTCTCCCATCAGCATCATCCTATTTGCTCTTGTGTATCAGAATCCTCTAGAAATGTCTTTCCTTCCTGAGGCATCTAGCTAATAGCCCATTTCTCTGAAGTGCCTTCACTACTGAGGCACTCTTAAAGAGATCTTCCCAGAGCCACCCATCCTAGCCTTTAAACAAACACCAAACGTCGTCAATCTTATCAGCAGAAGCAAAATTCCTATGGCCCAAAACACACGAAATGGATCCAGATCATGCCAGGACAAAATGTATAAAACCTGCCAACATATCTCTGCCACTCTCACAATAACTACACCCCACAAGAGGACCACTACTGTTCCTGGATCTTATACTTGCACCTCCAAAAAAGAAATATGTTATCCAGTGCACTAAATGTCCTAATGGAAAATATGTAGGAGAAACCAAACAACAACTGTGCACCAGAATGAACATGCACTGAAAATCTATCAAACATAAAAATACCCAATTACCTGTGGGGGCGCATTTCTCACAGGATAAGCACTCTCTCTCCTGTCTCTCAGTTCTAATCCTCAAAGGGAATTTACAAAACACCTTTCGCAGATGAGCCTTCAAACTTCATTTCATCAATCTACTAGATACAAAAAAAACATGGACATTGGATTCATGGCACATTATAACCTGCCTTCTAACTGATACCCCAGGTAATCTCTCTACAATTTACCAGCTATATTCCAGCACCAGGTCACCATTCCTCTTCTCACCTATTGTCTCTCACTCCCTCTGATTCCTCACTGCCATGGCATTTGCATTTTCACTGACCTGCATT